GAAAAGATTGTTAAGTGCCTCTGGATGTCCTTCTGATATAAGCGGTGCTGCATAATAATGTAAATTTGTATTGTGTTAATAATAATAATCCTTGCATTTGATATAGCCCCTTATCACGTCTTCGAGACGTATCAAAGCGCTTCACAGAATATACTGTAAAGTGTAGAGACTGTATATTTTGTGGGCACAATGTACAATCAATTACTAGAATAGTGGGGTTGCTACAGGTGGACTGGAATTCCTAAAAAATATTCCTCCTTAAGAAATCTGGTTAAAACACAAAGCAAGTTAGATCCAACTAACAGGACACTTCGCTTGAGATTTAATTGAGTTGGATTCCAGCAATCTGTCAATTACAGAGGTGCCAAACCTCTTTTTTTCCCGATGAACAAGCAACAGATTTGTATTTGCGAGTGTGAGAAGGGAATTGGTAATCTGCTCACTGCATCTCGTGCCAACATTTGGGGATTTTTTTTGGCGGGGGCTTTCTATTTTTAAATCCAAAGTAAAGATGCAAATCAAGCAAAGCTGCACTATAAAAATCCTGCACTGGCCGACACCTATTCAGGTGAATGTTAAATATCCCATGGCACTGTATGAAAAGTGAAGGGAATTTCTCCTGGAATCCTGGACAATAATTGCCCCAAATAAAATTATTCACTCACTGCATGACTGTTTATGGGACATCGTTGTGAGTAAATTGGCCGCTGCATTTGTCAACAAAATGCCCAGTCACTGCACTTTGCATTTTGTGAAGCACTTTGAGATATTATAATTACCTTTATTTAATAATAAATAATAATCCTTGCATTTGATATGGCGCTTTTCATGTCTTCTAGACGTCTCAAAGCACTTCACAGAATATGCTGTAAAGTGAATTGACTGTACATTTGGGGAGATATTTCTGTATATTGTACAGCACACAATGCACAAAGACAAGCATGGCAGTCAGTGAACTGAGTATTCAAGAGCTTTAAGCACATAGAATTACATACTAATGATCTTTGCACTTGATTATTATTGATTATTATAATGGGAGCAATCAGGCAGAACACAGTCAACGGGCTGAACGACCTATTCCCATTCCTACCTTGCTGTGTCTCCAGCTTGGTTTCACAAACATGATCATTGAGAACGTCAAGAATTATCATAAGATTTGATGCAGCGTCTTTCACTTCAGAAGGATATCTCAAAACCCTTCACCTTCACAGGATTTGACCGTGAAAGGCAGTGACTGTGTATTTGTAGGCAGGCTCGGCAGCCAAATGTCCCACAAACAGGCTTGAAGTGAACGACTAGTTTTATTATTGCCCAGGACACTGGGAGAAACTCCCTTTTTTTTAGTACTGTGAGATCTTTAATGTCTACCTGAATCTCTGCAAAATACATTCCACCAAATGCTCTCTTTCTGTTGATTCACGTGCAACACATCCCGTGCACCTCGATCTGCCAGATTCCTTTATATCTACAATTCGGTGAGGTATAGTTGTGATGAATGAGATTCCACTGCAGCAGGATGGCCCTGTGTGGGTGTGATGTGAGGTTAGAATTTTCTTTACACAGCGAGTGGCATGTGTGGAGATAGCTGAGGCCCTAGATGCGTGAATTGGCCAGAGTTAAAACTATTAAGCACTACGCAAGGTGCCCTTCGCTTCAGATTCAGAGAGCCAGTGTTTTCAACGCAGGGGCAAAGGAATAAGCAAGGTTCCTGATACGCTGCAAAAAGTCCTTTTTATTTTATCGTCTGTCAATGTTTCTCCTTGCTATTGAAAGTGTTTTGACTCCTCTCTCTTTTTCCCAACAACCGATTGCTCTTCACTGCCTTGCTCCAGAGACTATTACTCCGTGTGAGCCATGACAGGGAGCGTTGGCAGGTTATTAGCCTGTAACAAGTTATTAGGCTGCAACAATAATCCTATAATTATCGTGCATTTGATACAGCATCAGCTCTGCTAAAACACTGTATGTGGTGTACTGCATTCTCCCATAAATCACAGAACCTGCACTTTATACAGTATATCCTGGAAAGCGCTTTGAGATGCTCTTCTGACCTGAAAGGCACTGCATCAAATGTATGATTATCATTGTCCAATATCTCGGAGGAGGCTTCATAAGCGAAGCACGAAAAAAAATATTAATCCTCTGTCACCACTTCACATTTATATTCCTGATATTTTTAAGTGACGTCGCATAATCCTTTGCCAAAATTCAGATAAAAAGGTATCTTTTTTTAAATAAAAGGAATTGCTGATATTCTCCCCTGGAAGCAACATGCTGAAATTTATTTCCATATGTATCCACGGTAATAAATAATAATAATCTTTGCATTTGATACATCAGGAACCTGCCCTCAAAGTGCTTCGCGTTTATACCGTAAAATGTAGTGATTGTGTGTTTTATGGGCAAATGCAGAAGCCAATTTAGAATGGCCCACAAACAGCCATGAATTAAATGTTATTTTGGGCCAGGACACCTGGAGAGCCAATTGATTGTTCCTTTTGCCTACAAGTACATAACTACTCCACTTGACAGCAATTATTGTGCAGTTTTTTTGACATTTATAAGCATTTTATTAAAAACAAAGCACAATACAATAAATACAATATTAAATACTGTAACTCCTTCTTGTTATTTCCTTTTCTTCCAAGAGGTCATCTCTCGGGCTTCTCTTTATAACTCAACAATTCCCACAAACAGCCATGAAGTGAATGGCCAATTTTATTTGGCAGCCGCCAAAAACTCCCGTTTTTTTTGAATAGCGCCATGGGATCTTTAACCCACTCCTCGCCGGTCTCCCCAGCTCCATTATTCAAAAGATCCAGCTCATTCAAAACGCTGCTGCCCACATACTGACCCGGCACAAAACTCCGTACCCACATCTCACCAGTTCTGACCAGACTCCACTGGCTCCCCATCACTCAATGGATTGACTTCAAGATCCTCACACTCATGTTCAAATCCATTCACTCTCTGGCACCTCCCTAACTCTCTGACCTCCTCACTCCCCAATCCACCACCCAGCGCCTCCGCTCGACTGGCACCGGCCTCCTGCTCGTCCCTCGTACCCTCTGCCCCACCATCGGAGGTCGGGCTTTCAGCCACTATGCCCCCAAACTCTGGAACAATCTCCCTCAATCCCTCCGCTTTGCCTCCACTCTCCCCTCTTTCAAGTCCCGCCTGAAGACTGTCCTGTTCGACTGTGCTCCACCACTGTTAAGAGCTTTGAGATGCTATGCTGCATGGAAGGCGCTATATTATCCCCCGCCCCATCTTGTGCAGCGTTCCTCAGGGCTCTGTCCTTGATCCCCTCCTCTTCAACATCTATATGCTCCCTCTTGGTGAAATCATCCGCAGACATGGAGTCAACTTCCACATGTATGAGGATGATACCCAACTCTACTTCTCTGCCTCCAGCCTTGACTCCAGGACCCACTGCTGTCCTGGCAGAATGTCAGTCAGACCTCAAGTCCTGGATGAGAACTAACTTTCTTCAGTTGAACGTCAACAAGACCCAGGATCTCCTGATTGGCTCCTGTCAGCGCCTCCACATTTCAGGTGCTGACAGCATCACCATCCATGGTTGCACACTCCACCTTGCTAAGCCAGTCCGGAACCTTGGGAGTGTTGTTTGACCCCCAACTATCCTTTCTACCCCACATCCGTCCCATGTTCCACTTTGCGGCGGCAACATTGCCCGGCTCCGCCACTGTCTCACTCTGCAAGCCACCGAAACCCTCATACACGCAATCACAACATTGAGGCTTAATTATGCAAACTCCTTGCTTGTCGGCCTCCCCAACTCCTCCCTCCATAGGCTGCAGATTATCCAGATTATGCAGCCCATGTCCTCTCCTGCACCAGGCTCCATGACTCTATCACCCCCATCCTCGCCTGACTCCACTGGCTTCCGATCACACAGAGGATACAGTTCAAGATCCTGGTCCTCACCTTCAAAGTCCTCCATGGTCTTGCTCCCCCCTACCTCTGTGACCTCCTAACCCCCTACCAACCAGCCTGCTCCCTCCGCTCAGCAGGCACTGGCCTGCTTCACGTCCCCCCGCTTCGCCCACCCCACCATTCGCTGGTGGGCCTTCTGCCACTCTGCCCCCACCTTCTGGAACTCCATCCCGCAGTCCCTCCGCCTCGTCCCCTCCCTTGCCTCCTTCAAGACCCATCTCAAAACCCTCCTCTTCGACCGTGCTTTCGATCTCCCTGCTTCCCCCCCTGCCCTCCTCCCTCCCCAATCCCGACCCCCAGCTCGGGTCCAAAACTCTTGAATGTCCAGCGCTTGGGACATTCTCCTGTTGTTGTTTTAAGTGCAAGTTGTTGTTGTAACGCCCATCTGAACAGGCAGACCCGGACCACGGTTTAAAGTCACTTTTGAAGGATGGCACTTCTGACAATGCAGCACTCCTCCCTCCCCACTGCACTGGAGTGTTAGCTGAGACTCTATGAGTCACAAATCTAATGTGGGCCTTGAACCCACAAGCATCGTGACTCAAGAGGGGAGAGTGCTACCAAATGAGCCAGGCTAACACACAACTTACACATTGTTGTTGTTGTATTCTGGACCTGCTGCGATAATTTGATGAAAAATATCTTGAAGTAATAATCAGCCTTACAATTGATATAGTGCCTTATCGCATCGTCATGACATCTCAAAGCACTCGGTAGGATTCAGTGCACTGTGGTGTGTAGTCATATGTGTGCTGCTGGACCAGGGTGGTCCAATTGGTGGTCTGCGGTCCAATTTCATCCGCCCCCTCCCCCCCCCACCCCCCAAATCCATTTCATCTGTCCCACCCGCTCCCTCCCCAACATTTCTCAAATCCGGCCCTCGGCAGCCAAAAGGTTAGACCAACAAGTGAAGCCGTCTGCACACATACCTGCTGTATTGCTGGTTCGTCGGTTTGCTGGCAGAGAAACAAAATACATTCAAGCTTTTTTTTTGCAATAAACAAAAATGGTGTTAGTGTAAATAAGTCGAAGAAGCAATCTAAAATTGTTGAACGTTTGTTTATTTAAAAGGACAAACCCAGATGCTACAAGACTTACTGTACCATGTCAATTTTAAAAATCAAAGTACCCAGTGTACAATATCATTAGCGTGCTTTGGTTTTCAGTCATTTCCATGAACAGTGGGCACTCACTGCGAACGTTTCAAAATCTGCCACAAATTTCACAACGATCTGTAACGTGGCTCCCTTTTCATTCTTACAGGACTTTTATTTATTTAAAAAAAAACACGTTTTTTGAACCCTAACCTGCGCGTCCTATTTTACAGTAGAATAAAGTGTCACCCACACTGTAGTCTTGAAGGGGGTCATGCACTCCAGCGCTTGACGGGTGGTGGGAGAGCAGGGGTGATAGACAGTGGTGGAGGGGAGAGAAAAGGGGGCTTCTCAATGATCGCTGCTTCAATCCTGAAGCAGAAACCATAGAAAACGAAAGCACTCATTGATACATGGGTTTCTCTCCTACTCGAAAACAGTAACTCCAGTAATATCCAGGTTCAGACATCAGAGCAAACACTAATAACAGTTATGTATAAGCATGACTTAATCGAATGGAGGGTTGGCTGTATAGAATTTGTTAAAGAAAAGTTTAAACACAAGGAGCTCCCGATGGGATCTAGAAAGGAAAAAAAAAGCTTGATGTTCATTATACATTACATATACCACATGTATGGCCATGGATTGGTTTTACTAAAATGCCCACAAAAAATACAGTCCATGTTTGTTGGGAACCAGCTTCATATCTGGCACAAAGATCGGTAACATAATGCAATGTGTAACATTTTATATATATATATTATACATATATATGTATATATACAGAAAACTTGTAGGTTGGCTTAAAGTGTCAAACACATGAAAAAAAATCAATAGTTTTTGACTGATGCAAGTTTTTTTTTATATTATATTACAATGCTTTTCCAAAAAATGTCCATCTCTGAAATCATTCCCGTGCAGAGAGTGAGGAGGTGATAAAACTTTTTTTTTAGAAGTTTCGCCTTCCCGAGCTAGCAGTCTGGCACCTTGTTCTTCAGCATTAACTGCTGTGCTGCGTCATTGTATGGTTCTGTGTGTTTAAAAGAAAAAAAAATGAGGAAATTAGGTCAGAAACCAACTTCACAGCTTACGAGACCTCAAAAGCGCTTCACAAGTTGCATATTTCGTATGCAGCCCATTTATTATAATAATAATCTTGCATTTAATATAGTGCGTTATCACATATTCGAGACAACTCAAGGAATTTCACAGAATAAAACTATGAGGTGAATTGACTGTATATTTTCTGGGCGAAACACGGCAGCCAATTGTGCACAGCCCACAAACCGTCGGGGATTCAGTGATCAAGTTATTGTTATTTTTAAAAAGAATTGAAGGGATTATTACCTCCGGAAAAGTGATCTGCCAACTGACTAACAACCAGTTTCCTACATACTGCTAGGTAAACAGAGGAGTAAGGAATCTTGCCTAACCTTTCGCCCTGCCCGGGAATCAAACTCAGATCATTTGCACGCAGCAGTGACTCACAAACATATTTCGAATTAAGAATACCCCTAGGCCCATTTGATCTTATTTCTTCCAGCAATATTAATGATATTAATCGTTCATTTGATACAGCGAAATTCACGTCGAGAGAATTGTCTCAAAGCACTCCATAGGATTTACCGTACAGACTGTACTTGTGGGCACCAGTGTGAGGCTAGGCTGAAAGGCTAAGGTTATTTGGTGAGGGTGGACATTGATGGGCTGTTTCAATTTGCTGGGGAATCGAAAATGAATAAATTAAAGATGTAGAAACATAAAATAAATTTAATGGGGAGGTGATAGATAGATAGTGATAGATCTAACAGGGAGTTTAGGAGGAACTTCTTCACACAGGGTGGTGAGAATGTGGAACTCACTGTGGTTGAAGCAGAGGGCATCAATGAATTTAAGAAGAAACTTGATGCAGGTATAGGAGAAAGGTACAGAGGGGTATAGGAGACGGGAATAGAAGGTTCGTGTGGAGTATAAACATCGGCACAGATGGTTAGGCCGAATGGCCTGTTTCTGTGCCATGTCTCTCTGTGTAACTCGAGACACACATTTTTGTGTGTGATTCCTGTCAAACGGATGCATTTCTTTTCTATTGCAACTGTTGTTCAGTTGCGACCTAGTGAAAGACTGCTGCTGGGAGTGAGTGTGCGGGTGTGTAGTGCACTGCCTGAAGGAAAGGAGGGCTTCTCTGCTGAGAGGTCAGCAGGCGGGTTGCCGAGGAGAGCTAGTGATTGGTACAAGTGCCTGGGCGGCTGCTTTTGGGAACACCGATCCCAGGGGGATTATTTTTTGGGTCTGTTAGCGCTTTGGCTCCTCGAGCCGACCCCATTTACTGTTTATTTAAGACATTCCTCTATCTCTCTCTCTCTCTCTCTCTCTCTCTCTGTCTCTCTATCTCCCTCTCATTCCCGTTGATGATCCTCACTGTTTCACAGCAGCAGCAACTCTGAAGCAGAAACGCTTTGGGTTGCAGCCAAGGCTGGAATGTGGTGTGGGCTCCATTCCAGTTGCAAACCAATTGGTAGCCTCACTCATCGTCTCATTCCAATTGACTGATGGAGGTACTAGAAGGTTTTATGGTTATTACGTACGATCGTCAACTGTGACTGGGCAAACACAGCCCATTCAACTTGTCACTCACTGGCAGGCTAACTATTTCACCTTCATTAGCACTAACAATTAAAGCAGAGCACCACGGAGGGTGCTTGGATCTCGACTGGACAATAAGGACTTGAATGGATTGCAAAACAATCGCCTCCAGAGAAAAACAAGACAAGAGACATTTCAACTGGAAAATAAAAGGCTTGTGGAATAAATCTCATAATGAACGGGCTCCAATTATTCACATCAAAGCTGTGTTTGCTGCAGAAACAGTCACTACATATTATAAAGCGCATGTTTCAATGTAATAAAATGCTCTAAATAGGCAAGTTCTTTTCTTTCTTTCCTTTCTTTCTATCTAAGATGGTGAGCTTCTTTTCGTCAGCAGCGATCGGGGGACAAGCAATTTCAAGGCCTGACACTGACACTCCCGGCTTGGGATCGTTCAATAAGAAATCATTTGCTTTTTGCTTTTAATTTGCAAAACAATTAACCATTGGGGAATTCCTCCCCCCACACCACCACACACACACAAACACATAAACCACAAAGACAGGCATTACGCTGGCATATTCCTTCAATAGAGTGTAATGGACTCCACTACCATGACTGGATATTAAGGTACCTCTTCACACAACGCCACACAATTTGTTGACTAAACATAGAACATCGACATACTGTTGGGCAAGTCTGTTTGACAGCACCAGTTCCTTTTCTGAAGGGCCCTCAATGAACCACTACATTATACACGTTGATAGCTTGAAATGAAGAGAAAGTCTGTCAAATCGTGCTACATTTGGGAGCGCAAAAGAGATGCCGGCTGTCAAGTTAACACATCCTCGGGGGTGTCCAGGGAGCTGCCGGGCTGGAGCTGGGAGCAGAGTTCTGAATCCACTCTTAACCAACGAGCAGCTTTGATGATGTCCGTGGAGAGTGCCAGGGGCTGGAGTGTAAAGACCACCTGACCGGCAGCTCCCAACGCACACGACACACACATACACACACCAGTAAACCTAAGAGCAGCACACACAGCAATCACACCAATCTCCTCTGCCATCTATTCAAATCCCGATTTGTTTTTTTTTCTTATTCACTAATAAATGTATTTATTAATTTAGTTATTTTGTTTCGCCCACAAAATACACGGTCAACCACTAGATAATATGTTCTGCGAAGAGATTTAAGATGCCTTAACGACGTGATAAGGCGCGATATCAAAGGGAAGGATTATTACTACTATTATTATGTGACAACAACAACAACAAAATTACATTTATAGAGCGCCTTTCACGTCGGGAGGATGTCCCAAAGCGCTGAACAATCAGGTGTTGGGGCCCGAGCATGGGGGAGGGATGGTGTAGGGTGAGGGAAGGCAGAGCGGTGGGAGGGAAACCAAAGGCACGGTCGAAGAGAAGGGTCTTGAGACCGACCTTGAAGGAGGCAAGGGAGGAAGCGAGGTGAAGGGACCGTGGTCTGGAGTTCCAGAGCGTGGGGGCAGAGAGGCTGAAAGCCCGGCCACCGATGGTAGGGCGGGTCGGGCGGGAGACATGGAGCAAACCAGAGTCCGCTGAACAGAGGGAGTGGGCAGGTTGGTAGGGAGTCAGCAGGTCAGAGAGGTAGGAGGGGGCAAGGCCATGGATGGCCTTGAAAGTGAGGACGAAGATCTTGATGGGGTTGCAGAGCCTGGCGCGCGAGAGTACACGAGCTGCAGATACAATTCACAGAATCATAATTTATAATTAATAATAATACTCCTCACATTTGATATAGTGCCTTTCTTTCATATTGGATGTCTCAAAGCACATCACAGGAATTTCCTGTAAATTTGGACCATTCGCAAATCCAATCTTAAATGGAAGTTGGTTAATCAAAGTTAATAGTCCTAGGCGTCAGGTTCGACCCCCAATTATCCTTCCTCCCCCACATCCGGTCCCTCACCACTTTCTTCCACCTCCAACGCATCACCCGTCTCCGCCAATACCTCACTCCAAGAGCCGCTGAAACCCTGGTCCATAACGCCTTTGTTCCCTCTCGGCCAGACTATTCAAATGCCCTCCTCGCCGGTCTCCCCTCCACTACCATCCATAAAACTCAGGTCATACAAAGCTCTGCCGCCCGCATTCTTACCCGCACCAAACTCCGCTCCCCGATCACCTCAGTCAGTCCTTGCCAGACTGCACTGGCTGCCTGTGCCAGAGAGGATCAACTTAAAGATCCTCACCCTTGTATTCAAATCCCTCCACTCCTCTGCACCCCCCTATCTCTCTGACCTCCTCTCTCCTCAAAACAGTACCCATTGCCTTTGTTCCTCTGGGTCTGGCCTCCTCCTCGTCCCCAGAGTCCTCCGCTCCACCCTCGGTGCCTTCAGCCACTATACCCTGAGACTCTGGAACTCCCTTCCTCACTCCCTTCACCTCTGCCCCTCCATTCCTATTTTCAGGTCTCAGCTGAAGACCTTTCTTTTTGATCGCGCCTTTGGTCACCTTCCTCCCCCTCCCCCTGGCCTGGCCCCGGGATCCGTTACTGTGAAGCGCTCTGAGACGCCGTCCGGCGTGGAGGGCGCTATATAAATCCAAGTTGTTGTAGTTGTTCCTTACATTTTGATATAATAATAATCCTTCCATTTGATATAGCGCCTTATCATGTCTTTGAGACGTCTCAAAGCGCTTCACAGAATATGCTGTAAAGTGAAATGACTGTGTATTTTGTGGGCAAAACATGGCACAGCACAGCAGTGCACAGCAGGTCCCACAAACAGCCGTGGATTGAAGTGATCAATTTTTTTTTAAGTTAAAGCTATCTGCCAATCATCTAACTTCCGGGTTCCTATTTACTGCTAGGTAAGCAGAGGCATGTGGAGTAAAGAAACTTTTCACACGCCGGGAATTGAACCCAGGTCTCTTGCTTGCGAGGCGAGTACTCTAACCACTGAGCTACAGGCCTCCAAGTTCTTGGAAAGATTAGATCCATGGAGAGTTGGTTTAGAATTAGGAGCCAATGGATGAGAGTTCAACCAACAGATACCTCTACAACAACAACAACAAATTACATTTGTATAGCGCCTTTCACGTTATGAGGACATCTATATACATTCAACACACACAACCTCTCCCTTTAAAGATTATAACAATAATGAGCCTTACACCTGGTACAGCGCCTTTCACATTGAGAGGATGTCTCACAGTGCTTCACAATATATACTGTAAAGTGTATTTTGTGGTTGAATGTGGCAGCCAATTTGGGCACAGAAATGTCTCCCAAACAGCATTTTGAGCAGAACGAGATACAAAGCCAATTTTAACTGTCACTGGTGAATGACGGTGACACAGAAAGTCTGGAGGGCGGGACAAAGCTTTAGAGGGTGTGTTGCCTGTTACATATAGTGTTCGAATACTGCTTGTATCCCTCCTTTTCATAAGTCAGAGCGGAGTA